TGGGGTAGAGATGACTTCAGAAACCTCTTCAAGTCAGACTCCAGTGAGGTTCTTCCTCAATCATCAGTCAAAATGTTTTACTTCCTAAAGATCATATTGATGTGATTTAGACGTGCTTTTGGTACTTTTGATACAAAATTGCTCTTATTGTTATTTCTTTAGACAAGAGTAGTGAAGAAGCAGACAGTACAAAGGAAGAAGCAGCTAAAATGGAAAAGGAATACGAAATCTCAAAGGATTCTACAAAAAATGAAGAACAAAATGCAGCAGGGAACAGTGAAGAGCCCAGAGGTACAAAATAGCCGTGGCTTTTCCTACATGTGTACTCTCCAAGTGATCGGAATCTTTTCCTATCTTTGATACTGTTTTTCCATTGTGTTAGCATAAATATCTCCAGTTTATAGTTGCTGGGAGTCAGCGCACAAGAGCTTGATTCGGAAGTGTAATTATTTGCTTACTTTTAAATATATGAAACTGTATCCCTTGCTGAGTAAGGCCATAATCTTTCACAGAATTCAGAGCTCCTTTTGAGAGCGATATGAAATGCATTTTGACACAGTAGTGCAGAGAGATTTTGCTTCTTTGCATCTCTGGCTTTTCAGTGAAATCGGATCATCAGGATATTCAATATTCTGAGTGAGCCCATTGATTTCTGTAGTTTGTGTTAGAACAAGCTGGTACTGAAAGGTATTGAAAAGTTCTGCAAAGAGAAAGAATTTGCATTACTCACTGCCAGAGGTTAAGGGTCAGCAGCAATTAGCCTGCATAACTTTGACAACCTATTACATCTCAAACCTAGCACAGTTGTACTTTTATTATCCTAGTTGTCTCAGCATGGTACATAACGCCACGTGCCATGCTACGTTAGACTGTACTAGCTGAAGTTGCTCTGTCTGTAGGGTACAAGTCAGCTGCTAGATCTCAAAACACATCTGCAGAGGACAGTGTTCCTCCTTACACTATACTTCAGAGCCTGTGTCCCAAAGACAAGCACTGCTAAGCTTTTAGCTAATCTTGTATAACCAAGCATTTCTGTGATGTCCAGCACAGCTCTCCAATATTTAAATACAACTTTTTGTCTCTCTCAGCTTGTACTAGAAGTAAATCTTAGAAGTGGTCAGCGTATAAACTTGTAAGACAAGAGGGGGTTCATTCTAGGTCTGCATGTGGATGAAAAACTTACTGAGGGGAAGGACAGTTGGACAAATTATTTTGGCAAGTGATGTTTACGATATAGTGCTTCAGGCTCAGCCACGTCTTTTGACTGAGTGACTAGTATAGTCTAGCTGCATATCCAGAGTAAGTTCTCCCTGCTGCGGTCAAAATACTCCTTCTTCATCAGCAATTTCTTGACTAGACTTGATGGACTTTCTTAGGAGGTGATGTATAGACAGTCAATTTGTCAATAATGAATGCTGAACTTCTGAAGGAGGATGTTTTTTGGGGCAGAAACCTTTCAGTGGGTTCTTACTGCTAAGGATTTAGCGTAATCATCCATGTTCTCTAGTCAGTTGGTTTTAAAACATTGCTTATAATCTAGTTTGCAGTGATGCTGTTTTATGCTCGTACTCTTTTGGATGCATGTGTTTGCACTGCAAAATGCTTGGCAATGAATTGCGTAGTCAAGGCTACAGTAGATTGTAGTTCATTGGCCACCTGGTTCAGTCCTGTGGCACTGCAGACATATAAGCTATTAGCCACTCACAGATAGAAGGTGGCACTTTTCCCAGCAGTGGTTATTTGAGCAAAGAAGAGGAAAATAGCTCAAGATGGCTGTCTAATTTCACAGTAAAGAAAAATTGTCTCAGTACCCGTGGGAAGTGATGAATAACATATTTCACTTGTCTATGGAAGATTTGTCAGTTCGGTTTGGTTCAGGTTATTTTCCTTTACCTTCAGAAAAACGTTTGGCCCAATAGCTTTTTAGAAATTTAAATTGGATCCGTATTTAGTTCTTTGTCTGATCATGCAATGCCCTTTGCTCTTTCACAGAGTAACTTACTATAAAGCTAACTCTGCACTCCCAGCTCAAAAATGACTGTATATCTAATACTGTATCCACTTACTAATGGGACCAGACATGCATAGTTGGCAGTAGCAGCCTTCTACATGCTAATCACACTAGGGGTTTTTTTCCTGACAAATGTAAGAACACTACATCAATAGAGCTCCAGCCAAGTTAAGAATTCAAAATCCATTAGCTGGAATATTTCCTTAGGGGCCTTATTAGGTAATCCTTGAACTAATTCTGTCCTGTGTGCTTCCTGCTCCAAAAATAGCCATCACTTTAAATTTTCAGCTATAACAAGGAGTTATCATGGTAATTTTAATATATCCTTTTTCTCAGTAAATGTAAGTAGCTGTATTTCAGCTTTTCTTTCCAAAATATCACAATCTTAGATTTGCTGTATGCTGTTAGCACTACTGAATGGAGGAGTTTTCTAACACATTGTATATGAGATACTCAAAGCTCTCAGTCTTATTTAAGTCATTCCTAGCTTCATCTTTGCTGAACAATTATTATGATCAAAAGGCTACAGGTTGCCTTTAATCCACATATGCAGTATCTGTGGATACCACCAAAAGTTATGTATACAGATCAAAAAAGCCATGATCCTAAGTTTGTGGATGACTAATCTTGCACAGACAAAACCTGCTGGCCATCTGTGGGAATTTTGCCTGACTAAAGTTGACAGGACTGAGCTTTTAAACAGAAACTAAGAATAGTTTTAATCTGCCTTTGCTGTGACCAACTTCACTCAGTTAAGCAAGCTGCATCAATCATTGGTGCAAGTGCCTGATTTCTCTCTCATCCTTTCCTCTAGGGAAAGCTGAGGCGTATTTGGAAGCAATCAGGAAGAACATAGAATGGCTAAAAAGCCACAACAAACAAGGTAACAAAGAAGGTATGAAGTAAAAAGCCTTGACATTGGGGTGGGCACCATATATATTACAAAGCGTGTAATTTAAATTGTGTTGTATAACTTAGCATTGTAAGTTAAACAATAGTAATGTGAAACTGCGCTTGTCTAGATTATAGTGATAATTAGGGATGTTAGAGTTAAATAATACAGGTCATGTAAAAGTTAAATCAGTGAATAAAAATAGTAAACTAAGGCAAATTCATGTAAACTGGCTCAAACAGCCGTTGGCCACAGCCACACAGTGATTTAACTAACCTAGCTAGAGGTTAGTCTTGAGCTGTCCAGATAGTCACGGTGGTCTGCCTGTCACCCGGTAACAGTATGTCAATTTTGTCCAGTGCTTCATGTCTTAGTTCAACATGTTAATCATAATGATTTTATACATGAGGTAAATGTATTTAAAATGTCTGGCTGTGCCTAGAAAAGCTCAATGCATCTGGCTAGCACTGCGCATGCCATCACAAATAGCAATGAGTTTTGTTTCATAACCATAAATAGTTAAGATACAAACTTCTGTCACTAGCAGTGTAGTATACTGGATTACAGCCCAAATCAACTCTAATGACTTGTAGCACTCACATGCAAAGCTGCGTAGAAGGGGAGCAGTGACCGAAGCAGCTGCACGGGGTATGCTCACCAGCTGCCCCACGGCTTGACTCTTCCTCGGAGGCAGGGCTGTATGAGAGCTGGAGGGAGGGAGCTAACAGCAGCAGGATTTCTAGCTTATTTTTCATAGATCTTTATTTATCTGTATCATGTTTGCCCTCAAGTTCTTACATAAAGCCAGCCTCCTCTCCCTTCTCTCTGGCATTGCTGGGGTTTCTGCTGTCACTCGCTCTGGTTCCTAGCCAAGGGATCCGTCCCTGGGGTATGACTGGTGCCTGGCAAGAAGGATCCTTCTTGCATCAGCCAAGCAGAGGGGGATCTGAGATGAGATTAGCCCTGGGCAGTCTAGTCACCCTCTCTGTGAGTTGAAGTGCATATGAATTACGTTTCAGAGATGAGTGCACGCCTGCAGCCCAACACTTTCATTTTCCTATATAGAAACTCCGTAATAGGAAGGATTTTTTTCTTTTATTTTTTCCCTCTTAAAATCATTTCCACACAATAGCAGCAATGCCAGTTAGCAACAGACGCACATATTTGCTCAAGAGTTTTCTTGTCAATTCCAATAAATGTTTCTGTTTATTGGTGTACTCATTATAGTAATTACATCTCAGTCATGTATGATTATTTCTCTGTATCACGCATACTGCCCGGGCAGCCCTTCACTCCTCGTCATAGTAACCTTTCCTCTGCACTACTGCAGTCTGAAATTGGCTGTGGCTGCAGATCAACAGCATGTTATCTGCCTGTGGATGCATTAAGATGTACACATTCTGCGTAGATGGATTTTCATTTGCACTAAAATGTCTTTATTGTCCTCTAGCAATGGAAATGGGCCTTAAAGTTAGTGTAAGTTACAACAAAATTAGAATCATGTTCTTACACTTCTGATACATTATCTTTATTCTGCCTTTCTATACTTTTTATTTTTGTAAAATGCTAATTCAGTTCTCTTGGGATGATGTTAAAGGAAGTGCAGTCAGGGTGAGCTTATCTAACCGTGAATGCATTGCGCTGTGTTTCTTCAGTACAAGATTAGGTGTTATTGATGTGCTCATCAATCATTTCTCCACTTCAGCTAGCACCTGGGAGCTAGTGGAAAAGTGATTCACAGAGTAATTTGTGCATTAAAATGGCCAGTCTTTTCCACCCCTGTTCATGGATTGGTTTACTCACTGAATATACTTGAGGAGGTTTAGGTTTTCTTCAGGCATACGTTTGTAGATGCTTAACTTTGCATGAATTTCAATAGAAATTATTATTCATTCAATGACTAATGACCCTGGAAATGTTAATTTGCATTTTCCCAGTATAAAAGTATCAGTTGTCTATTAAGAAGGCAAGGAAACTTGAGTGGTCTGGATGATATAAAGAGAAACATGCCAAAAGCCTAGATTTTGGCCTGTTTGGTTTTGTGTCCAAAGTTTGTTTTGCATATACATGATATATAGGCTCTGTAGGCCTATCCTTAGTATCCCCCAGACCTGGCTTGATCTTTGAAACCAATGCTTTTTAAGAACAGCTCCTCTCCTGTGTAAATTAACATCGCTCCCACCAGCAGACATCGCAAAATACTTGGATAGTTTATAGTTTCATAACACTGACAGTAGCCATTTAGGAATGAAAGTAAATTCTGTAATTAATTGCAATGGCAAATGGCTTGATTTGAATATGCAAGTAAGACCCCACTTCATTTACAGCATTACAGCATTTACAGCATTACATTCTTCGCAGCAGAATGTAACGCTGTAGCTGTTGCGGGGAATATAAACCAAAACTGATTTTTCTAATTACTTGCCCAAATTAATAGGTTGTGAATAAGTATTAGAAATTAACAGTTATCGATTTCTAGAAAAAAAAAAATCAAATTAACTTGCCATGAGATATACAAATTAGCCAGAACTGTATGGTATCTTAATGGTTGTAATCTCATACAGAATGTTTATTAATTAAACTTTCACATCTCCACACAATGATCTTAGAGTTGTAAATACTATTCTAGAAGAAAAATAAGCTCAGGAATTTTAATGTGAATACTCTGGATAGTATATTAATTTAGTATTTGTTGTTCCATTAATTTCCATTCCAAGGTATCTTTCCCT